TGGGCCCAGCCAAAGTCATGACTGCTGCCCGTGACAATAAGGTAGATAGATGTCTCATTTGTAGCACTGTCTCCTGTCATCCTGCACTTGCGTGTCAAAATCCGGGCAAAATGACTTTGTCATGAGAAGCCAGTTACCTGCTTTTCACCCTGTTTGCTGCAGTTAACCTTGCTTTTGATCAATCCTTATGTAGCATCTTAATGGGCTCACAAATGGAATTTCAACTGAAAAAAAATTCTGTAAAAAAAAAAAATCTGGAGCCTGAATAACGAGGGGCTCTTTAAAGTTTATAACCACTTTTGAATTATGTAGAGGATATCTGAGGGAATTTTCAGGTCTACTAAGAAAGGGAAAGACAGAGCTAAAATACAGACCCCCGTACAAGTACCTTGATTTGTTGACTTGATTTGAACAGTCTTCATACAAAACTTACTCAGAGTTAGGACAATTAACATCACAAAATGCATACTCTCCTCTATGAAAAAATACTTTGTGGGTTAAACATACTGGGCTTGCTTTTTAAAGTAAAACCACGATTAATTTCAAGTATGACCCAATTTGACAGGTACCGGTACTGTTCCTAGCCTATAAAACCTATTTTAAGTGAAGATATTTTTCATGAGAATGTGTTAAAATGTAAAGAAATACCTAAGCAAAGTATTCCAGAACCAAGCCAAACCAAATTTTTTCCAGACCGGGAATCAAACATTGGCTGCAATCTAATTTCAAAACTTTTTTAAGTCAACTTCCTAAATAACACACAGAAAATTACCTGTGTTCAGTGATCTAATAACTTTAAAATTACACAGAGAGATCAGTACCAGGTTCACATGACAAGGTGTACACATGTACACAGCAAATGTCACCATGCCTACTACTAGTAGGCCTAATGAAAAACCTCTCCAACATGTACATGAAGTCATGGTTGGCTAAAATCTGTGACTTGCTATAATCCCTTGAAATGAAACTTTGTGACTGTTAATGCTAGAAACTTCTCTTAAAAACAAAATTATTCTTTAAATGTCTGCCAACAGTCTTAAAGTGACAGAATAACTTTATCAGCACAACAGTAAATGAGAAAAAGCTTTTGAAACTCACAAAATAGCAGTAAAAATGTTTGCATAACATCCAATTTTACAATGTAAGCCTGATTAAAATGGCACTGAAAACATTGTTCAAAGTCACTGACATATGACACGCATGGATTTTGAATTTTACAAAAAAAATTGTCATTTTGGATTCCAGACCTTTCTACTTATTTCCTGACTTTTAGAATTCCATACATTGCTGACATGTGTAGAGATAAGGCACAAGGGAAGAAATCAGTGTGACTTATCACTCTAAAATTGTCAACCTGTGTGGTACTCTGATAACATCGAGAACTTACAATATTAAAAAAAACACAACTTGAACATTATTAACCACTTTTTTGTGTATGCGACCTTGCTTTTGTCTTGTAACACTGTAGAACTGTAAATGATGGACGTTCACTGGGTAATAATAATAATAACACTAATAACAAGCACTTGTAAAGCGCCATCTATCTAGCAAACCATTCCAAGGCACTGTATTATTATTAATAATATTAATGGATATTCACTGGGTAATTTGAAGCATCCGTGTATCTTCTCTGTCTCTTCAAGTCTGATAACAGTGTTTGATGAGATGGCGCAACTGAACAGAACAAGACAGAATATTGCTGACATAAAATTTAAAAGTCAGGAGATATGAACAGGTGATGACACATTCAATTCTAACAATCTGATTTTTAATAAAACTATCATAAACAGTTTGGTACGCACCAGTACATATACAACTGATTATAAGAGTGACAACAAAATCTCAAGAAAGTACAGAAAGTTCAGGATGCAAGAAGGGAAGAAACTCAATGAAAGACGGACCTTTTTATACATGTAGCTTAAACTTGTGTCTCCATGAGTTGGGCTAATTTTTTCGGGACAAATTCTTAACTCACTATGGTTGCTTCCATAACATACCAGTACATGCAATACTGGTTCATTCTTGATCAATTTGTACCAATGTTGTATGCACACACTACAAAGTACATGTAAATGTACATGTACAGTCACTTTCATGGAGTGCACAAACAGCGCCCTCACACAATCATACTTGGTCAGTATTGTCTTTAAATCCCAAACTGAAATTGACTGTGCAAAAAAATGTTCAAGTTCCAATTGGTAACCACAGGGCAGCATACAATATTCCATTGTGCTTTGTGGCTCCTCAAACACAAAATTAAAGAAACTACTATGACAAGGATGATCAGATTTCTCACCATATTACTGGGCTGCCATCTCTCATTTGAAACATATTTGACCATACCACTTCACCCTGTTTTGTATGAACCCTTTTCTACAACCTTTTCTGGGACCTTTTCTGCTGTGCCTCAGTCTTACAGTTGCTACCTGGACTCACAGAGACTGTACAAACCCATCTCTAGGTTGGTTTCTACTTTAAGACTGGTCCACACCAGCTTTAACATCGCTGGATAGTGGTTCAAACATACGTGTAAGAAGTTCAAAAGTTAACAGTACACAGAACTAACAAATGTGAAATTTTCTGGTAAAAACTCCCTTTTTGGAGTCAAAGTAAGTCTTATTTCTCCAATCCACCCCCAAGGGCCTAGGGCTCTTACGCTAAAATTTGTCCTATCTAGTCCCATTGCCTTGCCAAGGGTACTGTACATTCTACAAAAAAACAAACTTAAGGGAGTCTTAAGTTATTATTTCCAGAGTAGATCAGTTACTTTTTTCACAATCCCACAAAGGAACTTGTAGCTGTTTTTATATTTGTCAAGTTTTTATGGTGTGAATTTTATTGTGTTGTGGTAGCTGTTTTAAATTACAATTGCACCGAGGTCTAGGCATACATTCAATCCTCTTGTGTGTTCTATATATGACATTCCCGCACTCTAGCAAGCACATAATCAAAAGGCATGTTATCGTTACATTGGACCAGGCCCACACTTTATACTGGCCCAATTATCCAGGCCTGAAATTCAAACCGAGGGGCCACACAGTGTGGGCCTTCAGTGCTATGTCCAACGGCCTCTACTCGTTATCAGCTCTGAATTTTCCGCTGATACTGTGAGATTACGAGGCAGTGATGCTTATTAGGTATGTCAGTTAAGGCTTTTGTTGGGATCCAATCAGACGGTATTAGGTTTTACCAGCTTCTGCCAGTTCTGGTGCTGTTTGAGTTGCCACCTAGCATCTGATGTACATGTATGAACTTAACCTGGAAAAAAAAATCATTCTTGGCAAAATTTGTGGCTCAACCTGTGATCCTCATGGCCATTTCCCAAGTACATAATAAGCCATTGGTCGGTATTTATTTTATTTTATTTATTTGATTTCTCAGGAGAAAGGACAAGTTACAAAACGAAACAAAAAAAATCCCAAAAACAGAAAATGGAAAAATGTCTGCCGATGCCCGAAGGATTGCCCAAAAGAAACATAGTTTCTGTCCAGGGGCTCTCCACACCGACTGACATGACATAAAACAAAAAATTACATATACAAAACAGTCATTCATATAAAGCTATCCCCAAGTAGGTTATAAAAATTACTAATACAAACCAGAAAAGAACTTTAAAAGGAATCAATGGTGGCATTGCCATTGTGACATGCAGTGCTGGATCCAAGAGTTTTGAAGGTGGAAGGAGTATATGGCTGTGGTGTTTAAACACATTAAACACAAAACAGAGACCAAATGTTGTAAAGGAATGAACAAAGATTTCAAGGCTGACTAACAGAAACACTTGCACACTGCCAATGTGTGCTTTTTGCTCATCCACACGCTATTCTGATTTATGGCACTTCTGGATAGCACATGAGGGCGCCCTACATACCAAGAAGAGCCAAAATGCCACAGATACTCAAGAGAGTTCTCTGAGCAGAACTGAAGGGGGGAGGGAGAGATTTCATCCTGCAAAACCTTAACACAGACTTTTCATCCGAGATCTCCTCCAAGCTAGCCGACTGAGGAGTGAGATCCAATTGTTTCTGTGGCTGAACTACATGAGATAGGAAGAACTTGGTCAGAGGTGAACCCGGCAATAACCCCCATGCTAAGAGGGCAGAGCAGAGGTTGAACCATGAAACCTGAGCCCCAACCCCGCAAATTCCTTAAGTCATGGGATCTGAAGATCCCATTAAAGGGACTGTTCTGGTAGCACAGGTCGTTCTATCTAAAATGAGAACATGAAGTGAGTTTAAGGCAAATCTCTCATCACTCACTCTTAGGCTGTGATGAACTATTAAAATCAGGTACATGTATATTAATGATCAGACGGGAAAGTGTTTTGGATACAGCAGGTGAGGAATAAGTTTATAGACTAAATGTATACATGCACAAGAACTCCCCACAATGAAAATAAAGAGATATGACATCGTTGCCTTCTGGTTAGAACCTATTGAAGATGCGGTGAGTTTGAACATCACTGGTGTTTTTGCCTCACAGGAGTAAATACAACGTGGTCTACGATCCCATGGAAGAATTGTTCCTAGGTAACAAAGAGCCCTCTCCAATCATTCTAATAAAGAGCTAATAAAGACTGGTTTCCACCTTTTTGAAGATCAGTATTATTACAATGGAGGAACTGGGAAAACAGCCCATGCAACTTTGCTCTGTTTTCTGAGGCCAAACTTCATCTTCCTCTGGTTGTTTAAAAAGACTCCAAAAATGTAAAATGAACAGGGTGGATGAGTTCCCTTAACTTGCCTTTGTTGCTAGGCAACACAGCTCAAACTTCCTTAACAAAAATGATTCAATGCGTAAACATACTAATTTATGATTACATGAACTTTGGTACAATTTTGGCACATCACCAAACCGTACAACTGCAGCACATCCCCCCTCCCCCCAAAAAAGTACTGCATATTAAGCAGTCAATACATGAAGGAGGATTCATGAACTGTTCATGTGTTTAGTTTTATCTGGAGAATCAGGCTCTGCTATCCGGGTCCTCTGTGCTTAATAATAATGATGTTATTCAAATTAAAATTATCATTCGTTTTCTCTAGTAAAACTTAAACCCTAACCTGTAAGAAAATAATAACCAAAACAACTGTTGAGGAGTGATGCTGAATGCTTAAAAGAACATGTGATTGACGCCAGATAATCAGAGCTTCAACCACGGGTAGCAATACCGGATCTGGAATGGATGAATTTAATGTGGAGCTGTTTAATGGAAGTGAACTCGAGCGTGGTGGAGAAAAAGTAATGTGGCCTGGGGGAACCGGACTAGGGCACAATGGGAGCAGTGTGTGCATGGGCTAGAGGTAAATGAACTTGTTGGTGGAGAGTAGGAGAGGGGATTCAACCAGTTGGATTGGGGTAGATTTTTTTAAGAGGGGTTAAATGGGTCATTGTGGTGGGTGGAGCTTTCTCAATAACCCCTCTTGGTGCTTGAATGTGTTAGTCTTGTATTTTTTTTGAGGAGTGATTAGTTTATGATTGGTCAGTCAGTAAAACTGTGTAACTTCAAAGGATTATGTGAGGGGGAAATCCAACAGTAAAGTATGAAACTTCTTCCTTTCAGGTTCAGTCTTCTTACCCTACATTCTCAGTTTGATTATGAAGGTGAGTCTCAAAAAATGTGTGGAAGCTCATACAGAGAGTTTAAATGACTAATTTGAAATTTTATCAATAGTATTTGAAACATCCAATGACAGAGGAAAACCTCCTCAGAAAACTAAACATGAGGAAGAAGAAAGCACCTGCTTTCAGGTCAACTAAATGCATTGCCACATGAAACATAGGTAAAATTTCTATCATAAAACAATTTGAAAAGTGTTTAACTGGTCATATAATTTGTGGCACCAGATTCTTTGGTTGCCCAATAACTGCTGGTATCAGTCATATGACTCCAGGGCTTGCGCTGACTTGTTTTCCTGGCCGGCCCACTAGGCTAGTTAACTGGATGTTTTACCAGCCCGTATAAAAAAAATGAAAACCCCAAATTTGTTATCAGCTCACCAATAAAGAATTTGACATTTCAGAAAATAAAAGGCTGATTGAATAAATAAAGAGGCATGTATGTTTGTTAAATATCGCTTGATTTACTGATAACGGAGTTGGGAACAAAATTACTTCTTTGCTCCATCTTTCCCCTCATTTGCGTTGCTTACGTTAGGCAAAAATTGCCCCTTTTTGCTTACTTTTCGATATTTGAATTGATATATTTATTTATACTGAATACATGTATTTATCTTGATCTAAGTTTTAACAAGTTGGCTTATTCTGAATTTTTCACTAGCCCACCGGGCAACCAAGGAACCAAGTTTAGGTTGCCCGGAGCATTTTTAGCTAGAATTTGTACGCTGGGCTAGTACTATTTTTGAAGCCTGGACTATTGCTACTGGAATTGCAACTTGGTACGCCATATGCATGGCCTTTTGTTAAATCCTCATCGGGTAAAAACGGTTTTTCCTCAGCATATGGCAGTGCACAGCTCTGTCAGCGTGTCCTTAGAAATCAAATTGTAAAAGGTGAAATGCGTATTTTGTTATTTCAATTAAGTCTAGCGATCAGACTAGAAAGTGAGACAAAATAAATTGTTATGGCTTGTGTTTACTGGGGCATATCTCTGGATCACCAGAAGTAAATCAGATGATGTAAGAAGCATCATGCATGCATGCAAGTTTTATACTTGCTGTCAGTTGACATTTTATGTCTAAAAATGACAACACAATGCATTTGCTATGCACCATTTTGGGGGACACGCTGTATTAGTACATGGAAAATCATTTTCAAGTTAAAACATAATGTAACTACAGCACTCCCCAACCTTAAACTTAGCTTAGCAAATTGTTGTCACCGTTGTCCTACCTCTGGGAATCTGACTGCATAAAATTGAAGGCCTACATGTACTGTATGTTCTGGGGGAGCAAATGGCCCTAGAAGTGGTGCAGATCACACTGATGGGGGTAGAATGAATGGCAGCCACCCACTGAGGTTTAAGCTAGTTGGGAGCTTCCTATTAAACCTATTTTAATGTAGCTCTGAGCACTGTATGCTGGCCCACATGCATACCAAGTGCTGCAATGGGCAAGAACTGTAATTATGAACTGGACACATCATCAGTGCAATTATAACATTTGGAACTGACATCAACCAGGAAATTTTGAGTAAAGTTGCCAGCAGAATTGGCTGACGGTGGCAAAAAATCTCCTGTCACATGCTACGTACATGTACCTTGGTGGTGACAATTCTTGCTGGTAACCAACATTGATGTGCTGCCTACAGACACTGAATATCATGTGTACCCTCTGTTCAGGGAATAAGCGCTAGAGCTTGGGAAATTACACGGCAGAAAAACAACAAAGCACAGTGTTTTCAATGCCCGGGAACCCCCTTTGTTTTTGTCAAGCTCCCATCATCCCATAATGCTTGACACTGATGGAATATCCCATTTCAGACAATTCCTTTCATGGTTAATGTTCACAGGAGTTTGTTTTTTTTCTCATCCCCTTTCCTATTTTCAGGCCAAGGGTCAGGGTAGGAGTCTTGACATACCGACATGTCACCAGTTAGCAACTCTGCACAGCCTCAACTTATTCTGTATCTGTGCCAAACACATACATCATTTCCAACAATGTTGGAGACCCCAGGAACATTGTGAAGGCACAAAGTCATCCATCAACATCCAAAATATCGCTGGGTCGCCTGATCCCAACCTAAAATCCTCTTACAAATATATGGAGGAACAAAAGTAGCAAACACAGTAAACATAATCTGGAGCTATTGTGAGAAAACGATAACCCCCAAATATGTATCTCTGCAAGGCCCTGTAATGCAGCCTTTGGCAAGATAAATGTGACTGAAACTACGAAACCATTCAGTCTGACCATAAAAGATATTGGGGAAAAATCGGGGACAGAACATGAGTCAAGACTTTGAGGGGATAATGTTCCTCCGACAATAAATACTTGAACAGTAGCATAACGGAATGCTGTGAACTGGGGAATTAAATTTTGCAGAAAATATTTTTTTGGCAAAGGTCATGGCACTTAAGGCCGAACCTGGAACAAATGGAGAGTGTGTCCTATCAGGTAACACCTAAATTTATTCAGATTAAATATTTGAGTGTTTTAAGTTTAAAAACCAGAAAAATTAAAATAGGCCTATTCATTTAAAGGGAAAACAAGGAAAATGTTTCAACTTATTTTGTGATACACAAAAGTCTTTGTTTGTCTTTATTTAGTAAAAAACGAAACAAATTTTCTTCTCAAAAGTGTCAGAGCTCGAAACATACACTATATTTCAAGGCTTCCTAAACTATGGATATTTCACGACTTTCATGTCCCAACTTTCATACAATTAGAAGTACATAAATACTCCTATGCAATTACATGTACATACCGCACTACTGTATGTAGTTTGTTGATGTCTTAAATTCCATTTGAAATAAAAAGTCAAAAATTTTCACAGTTGCTTTTCATTGACAAAAACGATCAAGTAAGAAAGAAACAATACTAAGTGTATCAAAAGCAACCAAAAAGTAGCTTGTTTCTGGGCATGGAAAATCATAATGGGTAGTGTTTCAATGCCATTTAAAACCACTCCAAGTGATTATTTTCTTCTTGTTTTGTGGGAGGGTGTGGTCTGGGAGGGTGTACTGGTCTAGTTTTCCTTCTCTACTTGCATGGGAATTCATGAAACAAGACCTGGTGGGGTCAGGTGGGCCAAGGTGGGGTTGTAGTTAGTCAAGTTTCTAGCATGGTGGAAAAAAGAGCCTGCGGTTGGGGCATTCAAGTGGAAAGCCTACATCGGAGACAGCTGGGCCATGCTAGACCAAATTGACCAATTGTTGGAGAAGTGAAAAATACATACATGTACATTAAACATAAAGAAAGAAGAATGAATAATACTAGTCCTTTATAATTCTGGCCTTCCCACAAGAGAATTAGATGCGACAGTGTTACGTCCACATGTCCGTCACACAATCCATCCCTCTGGCCACCCAATCACAGGCTGCTGGTACTGCAAAGCTCTGAGCTTTTCCAAATCACCATGGCAACAGTGACGTTGGATAGTTACCAGTGGACGGTTTACCCTTTTTTGTTTTTTTTTGCCAGTGAGGTTATTGCTCTCCAGTGCTGCAGGTCGATTGCAGGCAGTGTAAGGAGAGAACTGGGCTCTAACGTATGACAAAAAGAGGGGAAAAAAGAAGGAAGTTAAAAAAAATTAAGGAGATAGTTGTCGATAATTCTCTCATTTTGATGGATTCTTCTGATGTCTCTGTCTTTTAGCATAACCCAGTCAAATGGTTCAATAGCACATTTCTCAGAGGTTGTTCAGACCCGATCGAAAGTGCTCGGGGAGAAATTCAAGAAGACAGGTAATTAGGTGAGGCTTCCTCACCCTCAGCACGGGTGGGCTCCAGCTCTTTTGTTTTGACAACGGAAATGAGATCTTACCAAGGGGAAAAAAATATGAATACAATTTAATAAAAATCATTACATCTTTTCTACAGCAAAAAACAAATGAAAATGGTACAAGGTGGTAAGACTTAACATGTTTGTCTTTTAAAACTATATTCTGAAAGGAACCACTGAATGCTCAATAACAAACCTCGAAAAAATGTTTCAATCATTTGCAAAATTTCCTTGTAGGCAATTCCTCATCATTGCCTACTCCCATCAATGTACAGGTTAAGGAGGTCGCTGGAAGATTATGCAAATGGTGTTGTAATTTAATCGCCTCGAAAAGGCTGCAGACGCCCGGGAGTTCATTGAATCCTGCGCCTTGCAGTTTCCAGCAAATGGTTTGTCAGAATAAGACGTTGACGAACTAACGCAGAGGCCTAATTTTGTCTGGATGGGTCACTAAGGGTGGTTCACCTCAATTCCCTTTTTTCTGTGTGAGTCTTGGCTCCCTTGTATTCTCTCTTCCGTCACCCCGGTAGTTTTCTCAGGTAGAGGTCGCACAGGGATGAGAAATGTTTAATCACGTCGGGAGCAGTGAAGGCAGGATGGAAGGGTCGGGAACTGATCGCCCTGGGGTTACTCGGGGAGTCCAATGCATGTGTTAATCAAACAGTGTGGCTTAAGGACACCCAGAGTGGTTTATGCACGGATGCGCCGCACGAGCCAGTCGGCGTAACGGGGAGGCCCCAGATGGTATGCGAAAGCAAAATATTTCATGAACGTGCACACCTTCCTACTCGACCACTGAGGTACATTTTTAAGTCTCTTTAGTTGCCAATAAATGGATACAATGCACCTAAAACAGAATTACAAATAGAGTATATCATACAGTTTCCGATGCAACTTGCAGTCGGAAATGATAGGGGAGTGTATATCATTTACAGCAGATTTTAATTTGGTTGCCACTTTAGGCTTTGCAGTTATAACAGTTGAACTGTCCTTTAATTCATCCAGGAACAATATCTTATAATTATGAAAAAAGGGCAGAGGAAAGATCCTAACCTCTTGTAATTGTGTTTGTAACCTGTTAAGCAATGCTATTAATAATATACAGGTGTAGGTGCTGTACACTATATAGAAATTCTGCAATGGGTTTCAATTTTTGGCAAATAACTGAGCGTGACCAGTGTCCTCCTGTGTTCAACATGACATTGTGACAGGCCACTTCTGGAAGGGAAATCTTGACTGGTGGCTTGAAAAGAACAGAGACAGTACATGCAATCTGTCAACATTCTAATATATCAAAACTCAATTGTCTAATCCAAAGCCAATAGCTTTCCTTAGGGTCCTAAACTTTTCCTAGATTTTTTTACTTCGTAATTGTGTGCATAATTAGACACACAAAACTGCATTTTAGAGGGAAAAAAGTCAGCAAAATGCAATTAAAGAGAGAGCTGAGCTGGATCCTTCAGGCAAGACAGTCAGAGATGGGAAGTGATATTTTCAACACAGATTGTAAACCTGTAAACTGATCTAAAAAAAAAAACAGGAAGATGAATTTTCAAAAGTCGACTTTTTTTCTTCTTCCGGGATGGAGGTTTAAGGTTATCACATTCAGAAAACACCAATCTCTTATTCTCCTTCGTGAGAGAATGAGACGGTGATACCCACACTCAGGCCTGTCTCAGTGAGTTCAATGATCTCGCCATTCCCCGGCTCCGCTGTGTATACAATCATTCCGCGAGTGATGCAATTTTCAAAGGAGGGAGGGAGGGGGGGGTCACCTATTGTTGTCTCAGCGGTCAGAATGGGATCATCCTGATGATGGAACTGGGGGATGTGAGAGACATTCCTGAGCTGTCCGGGTGAGGCCTGAGCAGGCCAGCTGCATCGGGGCTTTTACACTGCAGAGAGCAAGATGCAACGTGTCAGCTTACAGCCAAGGCCTCTCACACTTTACTCCGCGAGGCCATCCAGGTTTGAACTTTCCTCCCGATGACAGAGATGCAATATTTAGTATACTTCACTTCTTTTCCACAAGGAATGGTAAATTCATTACAGCTTATGTTACCGCATTCACAATATTAAAATAGGTTTAACAAATGTTTCAGTGCTTCCCACATTTGCTCCCTGGAAAAACCAACTTAAGAAAAGATAGAAAGGCAGCACTGAAATGAAATTTTGATATTTGATTCTCTCTTGTTTGTACCAAAATGCGTACATCAACATTTTCACCAAAGGTTATCTGCTTTCACTGTTCCACACAATCCTACATCTTTGACCATGAAGTGGGATCTGAAAGTGTGTTCATAACTGACCAATTTTTCGCCTAAAACTGGAAGATTTGGACTGCATTCAATTACAGAAATTAGTGGTTAATATCCACTTCGTTTTCAGAACTACCAATTTTGAGAATGTCAACTTGTCCTCAACTCAACAGAAAAAGTAAAAAGAACATGGCATCTCCTATAACAAAAAGTCGCACATAAATAGCATTCCTTGCAATCCGCATGCTGCTCTGGTCAAGTGCTATGGGAGTTCTGTCTAGAGTTCTCCTTTACTGACTGCAACATTGCAATTTTAACAAGGGCTGGGAATAGTGGTTTCTTGGCTGGCTGCCCTGCCCTAGAAACCTCCAGATGGCAAACACATTTTGCTATGTTCCTCTATTTTTTCCCTCTTGTTTTCTTGGAGGGACACATACAAAATCACATGGCAAATCTTTATTAAAGTGAGATTCAATGTATGATGTACATGTACATGTACTCTACACACTTTAAAATGTTCTCATTTTAAAGCTTGTCCCTTTTGAAGATCATATTTGGGTTTCATCTAAATGCATGAACCATGCATCATCAATTTTGGAATATTGTCGGTGGTGTCAAAGTAAAAAGTCAGTAAAGTTGTATACAAACCCCAGAAACTGATAATTCTGGAATACACAGCAATGTTTTGAAATCTGAATTTTTTTTTTAACTTCAAATTTCCATTTGAACGCTTCAGCAAAAATCCAACTCGAACAGTTCAAAATGAAGTCGGGTCACCTTTAACAGTGCTAACTACATGTATCATTAGGAGAACAACAAACAAATGAACACGTGGGGCCCCATCACCTTCACCCCAATTGTGGCCAAGTTCATATAGGTCCTCCCTCAACACCACTAATTGTTTGACCTCTGACATTGGGATTGCAGGGGTCACCCAGACCTCAACAACCACAGCTGTAAGCCTAGGGGACCCTTGTTTAGGATGCGGTGTGTGCACAGAGTGGGTCAGGTGGCACTTGTAGGTTGCATAAAAGGGGGTTGGAGGCCGCTGTTAGGGTAATTACCCTGGAGCCAGAGTGGCAACCTTGACTTAAAATCGTCATGGGAACCCTTCCTGGCAACTAGGCAAAACAATTTGACTGTGGTTGCAAGAATGGTTTTAAGCATTTCCACAAAATACCCTGTTTTCCTTTGAAGTGCAAGTCTGTGGCACCTTCCATATTTGGCTCTTTGCCTCGCATTTAAATCACTGATTCTCAATGAAAGAAAAAACTATGTACAGTACACTACCTATAAAATCAAGGTCAGGTTGAAACAACTGTGTAGTGTTTCCTCATAGTCTACATGTACATATGCAGGGTCGAACAAATCATATTCTGTGTAGTGGTTGCATGACAGAGTAATCTGTGGAATGTGTGGTACAGGCAGCCAGAAGATTTCTGATGCTACAGTTTGTGGATGGTCAACTGTCTGCTGAAGCAACTCTCAGTTTACTG